TAATTCATGTAATATGATATATTAGTATGATAATTGATTTAGCATGATAAAGTATTAATGCAGTAACTGATATGATATATCAATATGATTATTGAAATATGATATATTGACATGATGAATGGTATTAATCATGACCCTACGTATGATTGCAGAGGTTTAAATTTTCTCTGCTTATAGAATTATTGCAGTAACATCCTCAGGTCATTCTTTGTATAAAGCTATTCGGATGAAATCTAAAAGCAATGTATATTTAATTTTGAATCGTTTAAGATCAGAAAATGTGACTGTAGCAACAAGTTCGCGACAAGGTGTGAATTACTTGGGCAAACAGAGAGGTCACCAAAGGTCACGCGTGCTCGCGGCCTTTGCATGGCGACAAATGATGATTAATGACGCATCATCATTAGCCTGACTTGCTTATCAGGATGTTATGCTTATGACCTCTCTTATCATTACTTTCTCTTTCTTTCCATCTTTATATCTCTCTCTTTCTCTCTTTTCCTCCTTTTCTCTTTTTCACTAAATGTATATTTAGTGGGTTAATAATCGTGATTTTTTCACACGCACCTAATAAATGCATACAGCGCTTCTGCAAATTTTCAGATTTGTAAATCATGAAAGGATTTTTCTCGTCGGTCATTTAAACGAGAATGACTGCAGATGACGCTGGGTCTCCTTACACTCTAACCGAATGACTATGCAACATGTGCCTACAATGGCACCCGTACTCTCTCGCTCACTGATGCACACTGACACTCCTTCGAATCCCAATCACATGCCTTTTATACATAGATTCCACACTGAAGAGGCTAATGTACATAACTACTGGCTAGTTACTTTATGTCTATCTATGCTCCTGTATTTCTTTTTTAAGGAAACAGTCACATAGAACATTGATTGTTACTTATGATAAGATACAAGGCACATCATTGTATTATTTTTTCAACAACACCTAACAGAATGTTCAGAATATGTGTGGTGCATACGTTGATTATAACACAGGAATGTGTGAACATATGTATGTGTGTTTCAATTATGATAGGGTAATACGCAGCGTCTAATGGAAACATCACTTTCTGTCACCAGAAGAGCAACACTCGCTTCGAAATCCCAACAGATGGTGCTGGAAAGACTTCAGTTACACATTTATTTTAGCTCTTGGGATGGACGCTTTCTTGTCTTTTGAGAAGTTTGTTTGGCTGTTATGATTAGGAAGTTGTAAGATTCGGGGAACACTTTTGACCTACGTATCTGTTCTCATTTATTGCGGTGCATGTGCCTTTGTCAGAGTCATTAAAGCTGCTTTAATCTCACACGGCATCCTCTCCCATACATTCGTGTATAGCCATTCTATGTTCAACTTATATAAACTACAAATATAAAGACTTACTGAAAGTAATCTGGTGTAGAGAAGGCACTGAATCAATGCTGCAAATGATTTCTGATATTTTTTCTAATAAGGTAACAAAAAGAAATGTTAAGGACTTGACTCCATTATAGAGTATGCGTTAAGTGATGTCCCGTGACGGTGTTGGCCGGGATTTAAAGATGCTTGTCGAGGTGAGAATATGAAAGCGATTACGAAGGGGTAACCACTGAGATATGCCATTTGTGCCTCGGACGTCCATCCGAATAATGTCCTTCTATGGATCCTAAATCACTGAAAAATCTGGAAACTAAGGATTAGGTCGTAATCAGGTTAAACCTCATTGAAGAGGGGGCGGAGGAGAGAGAGGAGGAAGAGGAGGCGGAGACGGAAAGAAGAGAGGGAGAGAAGGGGAGGAGCATATGGAAGGCAACCATCCCTGGCCTACTTGTTTTTGGCAAGTCTTTACATTTGTACAGTTTAAAAGGACACTGAATGGGCATACATGAATGTTCGCATATATATTTTAGAGTGGGCCGTGTGGAATTTTAATAGTTTTAATAAGACACTGACAACATTGCACATAAGCAAAGGTGTTCCCAAATCTTACAACTTTCTAATATAAAGTTAGCTAACCAAACTCTTCGAGAAACGAGAAAGCGCCCACAACAAGAACTATAAAAAGGTGCGTAGTTGAAGTCTTTCCAGCACCATCTGTTGTTGGGATTTCGAAGTGAGTGCTGCCCTTCCTTTGGTGACAGAAATCGATGTTTTCATTAGCAGATTTAAACACAACTAAAGATTTCAATCGACCCTATATTCAAAGTCGTATTGGCTGTTGAATTTCGGAACATAATAACCATGTTTATTACCTTCATAAGACTATGCGTATTGCTCTGTCATTATTGAGACACATTTCTATGTACATTCAAAATTTCTGTGTTTTAATTAACATTCATCAGATTAATAATGCGTGGGATATATGCACCACATATCACAATCTGAACAGCCTCTTTTATGCTGTTGAAAAAAAAATGAATACAACAATGCACATTGTATCTTCTCACCACGAGTAACAGACGTAGATAGAAATAAATTAACTATGTAAAGTTAAATACAGTATCCCCTCGCGTGTGGAATAAGCGCATGCGAGGAGTGTGTCTATGCATATGTGACTGGGATTTGAGTAAGTGTCAGTGTGTATCTGAGAGAGAAATCGAGTATAGGTGCCATTGTCGTCATATATTGTATAATCATTAGTTAAGTTTAAGGAGACCCAGCGTCATCTGCAGTCATTCCCGCTAATCCTTTGAGATCAGAAGCACCAGAATTGCTTAGGAAAGTTCCAATTGAAAGTGGTCAAGCGCAAGAAAAACGTTTAAGTGAACGAGTTCGCGACAAGGTGTGAATCGGTGGCCCTCGCGAGAGGTCACTTCAGGTCACCAATTAGATTTTCAGGAAAACAATTCTTTCATGGTTTACATAACTTAAATTTTAAAGCGTTTATACATTGATTGTCTGTGAATTATATATATTTCACAATTGGTGACCCGCTAAATGTACATTTAGTGAAAGAACGACATACAATGGTAGGAAGAAAAGCGAGAGAGATTGAATGAGATTAATGAAAAGAGAGAACATAACCATAGCATCCTGATAAGCAAGCAGGCTAATGATGATACATCATTAATCATCATTTGTCGCCATGCAAAGGCCACGAGCACGCGTGACCTTTGGTGACCTCCCTGTTGGCCAACCAATTCACACCTTGTCGCGAACTTGCTACTGCAGTCACGCTAACTGATCTTAAGGATTAATTATTATATTATTTTTTCATCGAATAGATTTATATAAAGAATGACCTCAGGGATGTTATTACAATAATTGCATAAGCAGAGTAGGTCACGGTCACACCTGGAGCCGCAGAAAGTGCACCCAACCACACATTGCAACGTTCAATCCACGCAACCAATCCACAACTGACACAAAAACAGATCCAAGGAGGGAAAGAAGGCGGGGAGGGACGGAGGCGCAATGGCGACCTGGTCATCTCCGCCGAGTGTCATGACCTGGAACCAATTTCCTGCAACAAGGCCAAAGGAAAAAGCAGGTACAGAGGGCGGAGAAGAAGTGGCCACGGGCGGCGTATGGGCCCGGGCAGGAGGGCCATGGGCGGGCTAGAGGCCCAGGACACGGGCAAGGGCGGAGCGCGGCGAGTAACAAAGAGTTGAACTCGATCATGACCTCATCATCACCTATTCCGTGTTCATTGTTACTTGATTTATGATCCGGAACCAATTTCTCAATCACTGCCGCTAAAAGAAAGATAGTGAAGGGCTTACTTTAAAACGCTTGTCACTTTGCTGTAGAATATATGAGTATTTAAATCAAGAACTTTTATAATGGACGTTCAGAATGAGCTGCGTGTTCAGCGCTAGCTAACAATATACGTCAATATTACAATCACTGAAATGAATGCATTGGGGCTCACTGAACAACACATAGAATATTGAATATCAACTTATACCCCGCTATTAGCATTAATAGTGACCGGAAATGTAAGAACTCTCGACTTTCATTTGATCCAATCCGCTTTCAAGAAATCTACGCGACTGATGGTCTATTTCAGTTATAAAAGGCAGAAACAAAAAATTATTGGAAAACGTTCATTCTTTCAGCTTTTTTTCCTCCCCACTCCTGATTTGACATTTCATTTGTTAGTTGTCAAAACAAGCACTACTGCCACCCGTTAATGACGCCAACGCGTGGAAATGTTAAACGCTGGTAAAACATTCAAGTGACCGACGAGAACGAGTTCGCGACAAGGTGTGAATCGGTGGCTCTCACTATAGGTCATTTCAGGTCATGCATGAAGAGGCCAAGGAAGCAATCATGTTTAGTAACTCAAAGACTAAGTGCAGCCTTGTGGGAACTGCGAGAGGGCGTGAGCGGAAAAGTTTAAAGTCGAAACACAACACTGTTTCGAGAAGTTAGACCATCAAGGATACCTGTATTATGAATTCACTCATAATAATTCCCGTCTGTTCGATCACTGATACTGCATCATTCCATACTTTGGATCTAAGGTATTTCTTCGTGACTATATGATTAAACAAGAAGCGGAGGTATTTTCACAAGTGAAAGGGATAGGAACATTAATACCACAGCCATTGCATTTCCAAACTTTTTACTTCACTAATCAGGTAAAAAAAAAAATAGTTTTTAAGCGCTCTGAAAGTCATTGGCGTTCGGATTTAATTCTCTTGACTTAAATGCCTTCTGATAATAATTTCTTTGGTGCATCATCTTGTAATAATAGAATTTACTACGCAGTAATACCTCCTACAAATGATCGTTAGATTGTAAGATCTATTTTCTAATATTCTCATATTCGTGATACTGAATCACATGTACAACATCCACACCCACATATATATATCAAGTGTTAAACAGTACTTGCTTGTAATCTGGCATTATTTTTTGTCATTTTTCTTAGGATGGATTGCGAATTATTAAAGCAAAAAAAAAAAAAAAAAAAAAATCATATTTCATTTTATTATAAGCTGTAAAGTATTCACAGGGTGTTTTAGGTTCACCTTGGCAAAGCTATCCATTATGCATCGCAAACCCGACGTCCAAATCAGACTCCTACAAATCTGCTTCAGAAACGGGAGAATCTGGCAATGCGAAGGAGCCAAAGTCCCCGCGTGAATCGCCGGCAACTTCATCGCACAACTCGACGTCGACGTGATCACCTTCGGCAGGAGAAGCAGGGGCAAGACGGGCGCGTCGGTTCTGGTGAGTCTTGACGTGCTTGTTGTAGTGGTCGGATCGCATGAAACGTTTTCCGCACTCGCCACACTGGAAACGTTTTTCGCCCGTGTGCGTTCTGAGGTGACGCTGGAGTTCATCGGAGCGAGTGAACGCCTTGTCGCAGTACATCCACTGACACACGAAAGGCCGCTCTCCGCTGTGTGAAAGCAGATGTGCCTTCAGGTGGGACGTCTTGGCATACAGCTTGCCACATCCCGGGACATGGCAGATGTGTTCCCTTTTCTTGCCGCCTGTACTGCTTCGTGAGGCGTCCTGCAGTTGGGGCAGC